TACAACTTTGACTCCCTTACCGAATTAATGAAAATATCATCGAGTAGTGTCCATTCTTCTAGCTGCTGGACTCTAATGCTATGTCGGGATGCTGTCTTTTGTCCTTCCCCCACAGGAGTGACATGATTCACCAGCACCAACATGTAACGTTCAGATTCAGAACGGAGAATTACAGGCTCCGAACGAGACATACATAGCAACAAGAATTTGAATCCAGTAAACAGGCATCAAGGCTAACAAGTCTCAAAATAATCCAACTTTCTTAGTTTTTCATAACTTAACCTAGCTCTTACACCAACAGACGAAAATGTGACCAAAATAAACATTTCGTAATACAAATCTGATCATCAGTAGAGCTCACACAGCTTACAGGAATAAAAACCGAAACGTTTCAAATTTTAGAGCACTAAAAGAAGGAACTTTCAACAAGGTACATTAACACATGATTTAAAATGGAATTAAAAATTAATGATAATTATGACTCCTAATACGGCCCTTAACATGGGATTAATAATTAATTATAATTAAGAGATGAACCTTCCAGGTGATGCCGACTAATAATATAAAAATTAGAAAGAAAATGCGAGAAGCCAAAAGCGAATATACTTTTTCAAACTTGGGTGGAGGGCTGGCCAGTTGGGTCCTCTTGAGGAGGAGGAATGAGTATTAAAGGGGACAAGTACTGGATGCTTCGTGGTCAAGTCTCGAGTCTGAACTTATAATTTTGTGTGGCTTCTAGAGACTGATACTACTCCACTTTTAAAATACTAAAACAAGAAGAAGTCATATGACCGTTAGGCCAGATGATCAAACCGGATTTTCGTCAGATCTTCTTAGTGTGAATTTCAAAGATTTGTGAATTGTATTCGTCATCATATCGTGTTGGTAAAAAAAAAATTAAATTTTTTTTATTTAAAATTAAACATAAACAGTACTTGATAAAAATTGACTATACGATGTACAATGAACGAACATAATTCACAAATTCTCAAAATCCTCACCAAAAAGATTCGGAGAGGATCATATTGGGATCAAACAATCTGACGTTTTTATTTTTTTAAAAATTTTATTTTAGACTAATTTGAACTATTGACTTGATGAATAGTTTCAAGGAAGTGATAACCAAAATTCTTAAATTTAGACTAAAATTGACATATATCATCCATATTTCTGACAGAACTATTAAATATCAGAGAAACGCTTATATTTCGTTCAAACCAATGTTTGACAATTCCTAAAGTTTCATTTTAAATTTTCATCATTTCCTTCAAAAGCAACCTATATCGATATCAATATTTGATATATTCGTGGATATTTTCACAAATTTACATACCGATATTTCCATCCAATTTGTTAAACACTGGTTTTACACCAATCTAAACAGTCTATTTTTTAAGTATCTATTCATATATAATTTGCATTTTACACCAATCTAAACTATCTATTTTTTAAGTATCTATTCATATATAATTCTTGCAAAGAAAAATTCAATCTAAGCAATTTACCTATTTTATCCAAAAGAGACCATTTGGTGGCTTTGCCCGCGACAGTCCACCCTTATGGGGCCGGGAAGACTCACATTTCAGCCTCATTTTGGCCATCATCGCGTGATTTACTAGAGCCAGTAATTGAACTCAGGATGTGCTGTATGAAACATAGGTTTGAAATTCGTCCGCAACTATTAGATCATCCTGCGGTGATTTGTCTCAATCACATTTGGCTTGGGATAAAATTTTGTACAGGTAATATATGGATTGAAGCTTGGTTTTGATTGTTTAGATAAAGTATAGAGTTGGCCAACAAATAGTTATCATCTACCTGATCAACTTTGTCAAAACAAACACTAAACCAAGAGTTGATATCATGAGCAGTCAACGATCCTATGTTTTCTCCGATACTATAAGGAATAATTAGTATGGTACTCGTCATTAAAGAGATTCAAACTTAGGACCCGTCACTTATATATAAAAAAGTACCAGACTATAATACTAAATAACTGCAACAAATCAAATTTTATCACCAACGTCCTCCAACCCCTCCCCGCAAGGGCGACAAAAATCAAATTTTCGGGAGCTGCCCATCTACCTGATCCATTAAAGCTCCATGAACACGTATTAACGATATCTTTAGTACATCTTTAAACTTAGAAAACAACTTACATGAAATGCGTTCACCGTCACGTGGCGTTCCGATCAATAATATATTGTCATGTGGAGAAAAACTTGCACTTGTCAATGTTTATTGGATACGGAATATCACGTAGCAGTAAACCCGTTCCATCGACAGCGGTTTTCCCAATCACAGCCATGCTGCTGCTACTCTTTCTGATTTCGTTGCACTGCAAAAATTACCTCATAAGAAGCCAACTTAAAGAAGAACAGAAAGATAAGTGCCTTTACCTTTCGTCTCCAGGCGACTTAAGGTATATCAGGTGGGATTGCACCCGACTCTCGGAAGAACAAGGCTGTCCCCCATGAGACGTTTGCCTTCCGGGGATCCTATTACTTATTCCAAACCTTCGCCATCTTTGGATTTAAGCAAAAAAAGTTCTCAAACATATTTCCACCCTTTTGGTTTGTTACACTTATCCAGCAGGCTCTAACTCACAAAAATTCGAAAAAGCACATCATGACAAAAATTTACACCAAATATGGACCTACTTGAATCAAACTTTTTAAATTCAAAAACAATTTTCAAGTTTTAGGCCTTAAAAACTTGTTTGGTAGAATTATTTAAAAAAACTGAACTTAAGACTAACTAAAAAATATAGTCTATTATCTAAAAACATAAAAAGTGAGGTTTTATATTTTTTAAACTTAAACTCACTCATTTCTTTTCTCTCCATCCTCCCTTCTCACTCCAAATCTCTCTCTCCCTCTCTCTCTTTTCTTCTTTCTCTCCTTTTTTTTTTTTTTTTACCTTTTTCGTCTCTTCTCCAATTTTCTTCATTCTTTCGGTTCTTTCTCTCACTCATTTTCCTTTTTATCTCTTCAGATCCTCTCCCTTCTTCCTCTTTCCTTCAATCATCTCTTAATTTCTTTCCTCATCACTTCTCTTTCTCCCTTTCCTGTGATTCCCTCTTTTCAGATCTCTTTGTCTAGTTTAAGTCGTAAGATTTAAAAATTTTAAATCGCAAACCAATTAAGTTTTTGAGTCTTAAAGAAAATTGTTTTCAATAAATGTTCTTAAGAAATGTTTTGAAAAATAATAAAAATTTTCAAATAGGATACCAAACAGGTCCTGAAATTTCTGGGAATTCCTAAAGTCAGGCATTCATGTAACTCACGCATGTGTTAAACAAAACTCACTTCTATTACCGGAATCCCGAAACCATGATGTCTCTCTCACTTCAAGTACCTAAAACTTTTCTCCCTTACCGAATTAACGAAAAAAATCATCGAGTACTGTCCGTTCTTCTAGCTGCTGTATTCTAATGCTATGTTGGGATGCTGTCCTTTGTCCTTCCCCACAGGAGTGGCATGATTCGCCGCCACAAACATATAATGTTCAGAATCAAAACGGAGAATTACAGACGCCGAACGAGACATACATAGCAACGAGAATTTGAATCCAGTACACAGGCATTAAGGCTACCAAGTCTCAAAATAATCCAACTTTCTTAGTTGTCCATAACTTAACCTAGCAACGAGAATTTGAATCCAGTACAGACAAAAAATGTGACCAAAACAAACGTTTCGTAATCATCAGCAGAGCTCACACGGCTTATAGGATTAAAAACCGAAACGTTTCGAATTTTGGAGCACCAACTGATCATCAGTAGAGCTCACACAGCTTCAGCTTATAGGATTAAAAACCGAAAAGTTTCGAATTTTGGAGCACCAACTGATCGTCAGTAGAGCCCACACAGCTTATTGGAATAAAAACCGAAACGTTTCAAATTTTGGAGCACCAAAAGAAGGAACTTTCAACAAGGTGCATCCAAGTAAACCAAACAAAATCTTTCAAAGCTTTACAAGCATATCTTACCCTACGAAGAATTTCCTACAAAAACTAGCACAAAAGAAAAGAGAGGAAATAACTCGATCCTCCAAATCAAATGGTGATAAAAAAAATAAAAAAAAAAAAATTGTTATTTTGGTTACAATTTCGCGAAATTAGGGTCTTTTTTTTTTTCAAAATTAGACTTTATTAGCCTTCAAAACTTCAAATTAGGGTCCCTTTTTTTCAAAATTTCCGGCCATTGGAGCATTTCCCTCTTTGTCATTTGGATTGAAATTTCACTTAGCTCAAAATCAGGGGCAATTCGTATACATGCATAAAAGAAAATAGACTAATTTGAACTATTTGACTTAATGAATAGTTTCAAAGGAAGTGATAACTAATTTCAGCTAACTGTCTATTTTTTTAAGTATTATAATTCTTGCAAAGAAAAATTTAATCTAAGCAATTTACCTATTTTTTACAAAAAAGATCATCTAAAGGTTTTGTCACGATAGTCTGGTGCTGGGAAGACTCACATTTCAATCTCGTTCTGATCACCATCGCATGTTTACCAGCGTTAATAATTTAACTCAGAACGTACCGTGTTGAATACGGGTTTGAAAGTCATCCCCAACTGTTGGACCAACATCCTCCAACGCCTCTCCGCAAGGGCAACAAAAATCAAATTTCCGGGAGCTGCCCATCTACCTAATCCATTGACACTCCATTAACACATATTAACAATATCTTTAGTACATACATCTAAACTTAGGGAGCAACTTATATGAAATGAGTCTACCGTCGCGTGGTGTCTCTTTTAATAATATATTGTCATGTAGAGAAAAGCTTGTATTTGTCAATATATTATTGGATACATGACGCTACGTAGCGACTCGTTTCATGTAAGTTCTTATTCTGAAGTAAAAAGGTTTGAACGGCTCATAAATGGAAGACACTACCTTCTTGAATTATCTCTTTTCCTTTTTCTTTTTCTTTTTCACAAGCATGAGTACGGATATATTTTAGTACTAATTAAGGACCATGAAAGAGGACAGAGAAACACAAAAGGCACAAGCTTTATCTTTATCCATAGAGAGAAGTCGCACAATTCAGCAAATTTGTTTAAGATAATGTATGATGATATGCGTAAAGAACTTAAAGCCGCATTCGATGTAGGTTTGTGGCCGTCCAAACAGAAACAGAACGAGGGTAGGCAGCAATTTCAACTGGTTTCCTGCTCAAACTCTTCCCCCTCGGAGTCCTCTGCATTGTCTACGTCGTCGTCGTCTGGATCATTGTCGTAGTCTTCTTTATCGTTGTCGACAGCGGTTTTCCCAATCACAGACATGCTGCTGCTACTCTTTCTGATTTCGTTGCACTGCAAAAATTACCTCGTAAGAAATTATAAATGCTAATGGTAGTAAGCCAACATAAAGAAGAAAAGGAAGATAACTGCCCTCAAATGTAGTTTCTAGATACTTAAAAATACACACGGATCCAACAAACTGCAAAAATGTGCCTAAACTTATATTATCGTCTCCAGGCGACTTGAGGTATATCATTTGGGATTGCACCCAACTCTCGGAAGAACTAGGCTGTCCCACTTAATTCCAAACCCTAGCTATCTCTGGATTTAAGCAAAATCTTTTCTCAAAAGATAGAATAGCTACTGGAAATCAGGGTAAGAAACCCAGTTCGCTTAGTGGAAGATATCGCTGAAGTCATCAAGGTGTTGTGTCGTATAAAGAATACACTTCAAATTACTCGACTAGTCTTTTTCCTCGAGGTTTTGTTTACTCTGATAGGCATAAAACTTAGATGAAATAAAAAAATGTCAAACATACGTCCACCCTTTTGGTTTGTTACACTTTTCAAGCAGCCTCTAACTCACAATAATTTGAAATAGCACATCATGATCAAAATTTACACCAAAATGCAAACCTAAATTTTCTGTGAATTCCTAAGGTCAGGGACTCATGTAACTCGCACACGTGTTAAACGAAACTCACTTCTATTATTGGAATCCCGAAACCTGGAGGTCTCCCTCACTTCAAAAACCTACAACTTTGACTCCCTTACCGAATTAATGAAAATATCATCGAGTAGTGTCCATTCTTCTAGCTGCTGGACTCTAATGCTATGTCGGGATGCTGTCTTTTGTCCTTCCCCCACAGGAGTGACATGATTCACCAGCACCAACATGTAACGTTCAGATTCAGAACGGAGAATTACAGCCTCCAAACGAGACATACATAGCAACAAGAATTTGAATCCAGTAAACAGGCATCAAGGCTAACAAGTCTCAAAATAATCCAACTTTCTTAGTTTTTCATAACTTAACCTAGCTCTTACACCAACAGACGAAAATGTGACCAAAAATAAACATTTCGTAATACAAATCTGATCATCAGTAGAGCTCACACAGCTTACAGGAATAAAAACCGAAACGTTTCGAATTTTAGAGCACTAAAAGAAGGAACTTTCAACAAGGTGCACCCAAGTAACCAAACAAAAACTTTCAAAGCTTTACAAGCATATCTTACCCAATTAAGAATTTCCCACGAAAACTAGCACAAAAGAAAAGAGGAAATAACTCAATCCTCCAACATCCTAATACTTCACATTAAACCAATTCAAACGGTGATCACAATAAAAATGGTTACTTTAGTTACAATTTCACAAAATTATGGTCCTTTCTTTCAAAATTAGAATTCATTAGGCTTCAAACTTTCAAATTAGGGTCTTTTTTTTTCAAAATTTCCAGCCATTGGAGCATTTCTTCTTTGTTCTTTGTATTAAAATTTCAATTAGCTTGAAATCAGGGGCAATTCGTACAAATGCATAAAGTAAAATTAGATATGCAAATGGGAAAATGGGAAAAATATGTAGTATCGGAAAGTACCTTCTCTTCGAAATCGGACTCCTCCATGGCGAGGAGGAGCTCCTCGCTGTGGGGTTGGGGCCACTGGGCTGGAAGCAAAAACGACGTCGGAATGGTCCTTGTTGACCATGGGTACTGTTTCATGAACCCCGGGAACTGTAACATTCTTCTCTTTCTGAACAGAGCGCTTCCGTACAAACCTCATAGACACTGGAGGGAGGACCTGCTCTACTGGGTGTCTCTCTCTTCTGTGTGCCGGGTGAGATATGAAGAGAACATGTGAAACCCACGTGACACCACTTAGTTTTTTGTGAACTCTGAAATACTTTTAAAATAACTGAAAACGTTTTTAGTGAAATTAATTTTGGGTTTCTAAAGCATTTAAGTGTTTTTTTTTTTGGACAAAACATCATATATGTGTTTCTCGCATGAAGCACTTAAACTGCTTTTTCAAGATCTACTTGAATTTTTATTAAGAATTGATTTCACATAATTTGACAATTGATGCATGAACTCTTTTAAATCATTGAAACAAAAGTCCAATCATCAATCCACACATCATGTGCTTTACAAACGACATAAAAATCTAATATCCCAAACATTTTTTTTTTTAACTGAATTATATAATCATCATGAATATGATTCAATTCTTTAGCCACTGAAAGACGTACTCTTAAAGGAAATACTGCATCAACCTTTGATGATTATATTATATAATAGTTGGCAAAGAAGGAAAGAGATTGTGACATCCCACATCGTCTAGGGGAGTGATCCTTAAATGTATATTCCCATCCTTACCTAGCACGAGGCCTTTTGGGAGCTCACTGGCTTCGGGTTCCGTAGGAACTCCGAAGTTAAGCGAGAAGGGGGCTAGAGCAATCCCATGATGAGTGACCCACTGGGAAGTTGCTCGTGAGTTTCCAAAAACAAAACCGTGAGGAAATGGTAAGCCCAAAGCGGACAATATCGTGCTATGGTAGTGGAGCGAGCCCGGGAAGTGATTCACCCCGGGCCGGGGTGTGTCAGTTTGGTATCAGAGCCTAACCTTGGTTGCGAGTGTGCCGACGAGGACGTCGGGCCCCTAAGGGGGGTGGATTGTGACATCCCACATCGCCCAGGGGAGTGATCCTTAAATGTATATTCTCATCCTTACCTAGCACGAGGCCTTTTGGGAGCTCACTGGCTTCGGGTTCCGTAGGAACTCCGAAGTTAAGCGAGAAGGGGGCTAGAGCAATCCCATGATGGGTGACCCACTGGGAAGTTGCTCGTGAGTTCCCAAAAACAAAACCGTGAGGGAATGGTAAGCCCAAAGCGGATAATATCGTGCTATGGTAGTGGAGCGGGCCCGGGAAGTGATTCACCCCGGGCCGGGGTGTGTCAGAGATCATCTCCGAATCTCTTCCACCAAGGTCACCAGATCAAGTGATTTGGATCTTTGAAATTTCATCAAACGGCCCCCTTGTTTTGGTCTCTTAAAAGCTATAATAATTTTGGCCGTTTGATGAAATTTCAAATGTCCGGATCACTTGATCCGATGATCTTGGTGAGAGAGATCCGGAGAAAATCTCTTTCTAGCAAAGAACTCTTGCTATGAATCACGTCAAACAATTATCTACCTTCCTCTCATAGAAATTTGTCTTGCACATAAAAAACCCAAAAACCATCATTGATCTACTTTAAACAACAACCCACACTCAAAGATTTAATTTTGGGCAATAGCCATAGCCGTTACAAAAGTTTTTCTCGACAGAGTCAGAGAATAATCACAACGTTAAGACTTTATCGCCAAAGATAAAGATAAGAGACAGATGGGTGGGAGAGAGGGACTAGATCAAGAGAGATTGTGCCGACCTCAACTAAGGACAAGGGAGAACATATGTTTGGTCATTGTTTCTCTTAAAAATGTTACTCTTACCATATTTTTATATCACATTTGTATCATATTTTTAATAGAGGTCCGACTCACAAACACATGTATATTCATTAAAAGGTGGTACGGATGTGGTATGAAAAGTGTGGTAAGTATAGGGTTTTTTTTTAATAAACATTCAAAGTACTATATGTACCATCTCTCTAATAGGAAATACGATCTACATATTCTGGTGAGCTACTTCTATTAGAAGAATAATACAAATAATAGTACAAGATGATAAGTGTAACGCTACTCATAAACATTTGAGTGCTACTCATTCGTAGTTCTTATTACATCTTAAAGTATATAGTTATCATTGAGTCATATTATGATATTATAATATCTTGTTCATAAGTTCACAGATTACTAGAAGAATCCTGATGTACAAAAACAAAGTTTCCATATTATATACATAATACATGTACCATGCTTTTGCACGTTCAACCTAAATTGCTTCAAAATCTACGCATACATGTTGACAGTGCCAATGAACAGACACAAAGTTTAGATTCCTCAAAAAGCCATGAGCACAAGAAAAGTGGTCCCAAACTCTCTCACCAATCTCCTTTGGTTATTTGGTAATTCAGCCTAATCTCACTCTCAAAAGCCTCCAAAACATCATATTTTGGGGAACCAAATACTCACTGAACACTAGAAGAATAGAAAGAATAGAAAACTCACAAACTCCAATACTTTTTCTGATACGTATCATTCATTCATATTATAACACATGCATCTATTCATTATATATCATATTTCACGGAAAAATGTTAAGGACTCTCTCAAAAGTGAGAGTCTCTATGGATTTTTTTACCACCTCACAGTTTTAAAGTCAATTTCCGTGACAATATTATAAAATTTTGTACAAAAACATGAAATAGCAGAAATCCATGAAGAGTCCAATTTTAAAAGAATTAGTTTAACATTTCTCTATTTCAAACGCACGTATTAACTTTATCGTTTACTTATATTACAAGTTGAACATTAGTAAAGCTACGCATCATTGCGGCTTCCTTTCAAAAACTTCCGCACAAACTTGCCAACGTTACGTAACATGCGCCCCCATACCATTCGACCTTCCGTTCTCCAAAGGCAAGACCGACTCACCCAGCCTCGTCACTTATTCTCTTATTTTCTTCTCACTGCCATCGTGTCCGTATTCTTCTGCTTCCACGTTTTCGAATGGCCTCTTACTCACACTTCCTCCTCCTTAACCATCCTCATCACGGACCCATTTCTCCATTTTCCAACCCCATTAGAACCCATTTCTTAGTTTTATTAGCACCCATCTCCTCCGTTTTGTTGCCCACCAACTGTTTGACGAAAGTCCTGTAGAACCAGCAGACCATGAGGCTTTACGTCTACGTGATGGAAGCTCAGGACTTGCCCGTGAGGGAGTCGTACGTGAAGCTCCAGGTGCGGAGGCACAAGTCCAAGACCCGGGTTTTGAGAAGTACCACCAACCCGGTTTGGAATGAGGAGTTTGTTTTCGGGGTGCATGATGTGAATGAGGAGCTTGTGGTGTCTGTGTATCACCAGGATGAGGAGCAGTCTGGCTTGTTCTATGGCGGGTCTGAGTTGGTGGGTCGGGTTTCGATTCCGGTTTCATCTGTTGCTGCTGAGAGTACTTGCACCTTGCCTCCGGCTTGGTATGCTCTTGAAAGTCCCAGGACTGGGAAGTTCATTAGCAAAGATTGTGGTTAGTGAACTTTTATGTCTGTTGTTCTGGTTTGTTTCAGTAGCGGGTTTTCAAGAGGGAAAATGATTTCTGCACATTTTTTTTTCATTTATTTTTAGGATAGAAAATAATCTGGGTCTGCATGGGTGAAAATGAGCGTGCGAAAATTTCTCTTCGTTTTGATTATTTTTGCTCATATATTGTGTTTTTCTTTGCTTTCACAGACATTTAATTAGAACTTGGATTTATATGGATGCTATAGCAATTTATATACCTTATTATATGATATGATGATATTCTGCATCCGTTTTCAAGGAATTGATATGAACATGATAAGAAAAACTGGTTTTGTTGTTAATAGAGATCTCAGTTGTACTGGATTATGGATTGAAGAAATTTAAGCACAATGAGTTAAGGTTAATTTATGGGTAAATTACAAAAAACTACCTTAATTATTGGATCATTAATAGTTTTATACCTCGTCTTTAAAAAGTTTCAATGTCATACCTTATCTTCGAATTTGTTGCAATGTCATACCTTCCGTCAATTGATTGTTAGTTCCTCTGTTAAATGCTGACGTGGCATGATGCGAGATCCATTTTTTATTAAAAAAAAATTAATAAAATATTATTAAAAATTAAAAAAAAAATAAAACTATTAATTAAATATTAACTAAATATTAAAAAATTAAATTAAAATAAAATAAAATAAAAATTAATATCTAGAAAACCAAAATTTTTTAAAATCACATTTGTTTTGACTTTGTTTGTACCATACTTGACCAATCCTGGGGTCAACGTCATACCTTCAAGGACCCACTGAGGGGTTCATGCTGAGGCACCCTTGTCGAAGCACAAGAGTTTCCCTCCAAAAAGGAGGCCAATCACAGCACGACACATGTCACCGTCATAATAAATCTCATCGAGTCCCACATCGACCGCAGATAAAAGCTAAAGACTCTCCTCAACTATAAAAGGAGACCATTCTCCTACAATTAATCCCTAATGTCATTACTGTACTTAAACTAGTCATTAGAACTCACTAATGATGATTATGCTTGAACCTATGTATTTGTGTAAACCCTTCACTATTAATGAGAACTCCTCTACTTCGTGGACGTAGCCAAACTTAGGGTGAACTACGTACATCTTGTGTTTGCTTCTCTATCCCTATCTCTTTACATATTTATCCTCACTGGTGACTGGAGCAACCGAGCGAAGGTCACAAACTTAACACTTTACATTGTACCAAAGTCTTCACTAATTTTGTGCATCAACATACTTTTTTTTTTTTGGTAAAAAAATATCATTTGTTTTGACTATTTGAAGATTAACCGGCTGATTATAGTCATTTTCTTAGGGGTGGGGTGGGAAGGGTAGCATCTCATCTGACCCTAATGTAGTTCTGCTGCTCTAGACAAGATTGTTCATTTTCTTATTGTGTACATTAGTTTGGGTCGAGGGTGATGATTGTCTATCCGTCATGCGAATTTCTATGCCTCACATCTTAAGGAAATAAAAATATGTAAGGCTTTGGATTTTTCTATGTTGTTCTGAATTCAATCAGATGATCAGGGTATGTGCTTTATATTTAGTAGAGAAAATTGTGGTGTATTTCAGTAGCACTGAGTAGTTCTGCAGTAAGTATATTTTTCTTCCTCTTACTGTTGAGTCGTAATTTTCAGTTTATCACCTTTTATTGGATCATGGGAAAAATTCTGGTAGGGAAGAAATTTGCCTTTTTACTAAATTGCCTGCCATTGTCTTCCTCTTAGGCCTAAGCTTTAGTTTGTCAAACAAAGTTGTTGACTCGGGCATTGTTACGACGCATTATGTCCTTTCTAGCATTTTAAGCATCAATGGGATCTCTTTATTGATTGAATCATTGCCGTTCATATGCAGGGAAAATTCTTCTCACCCTTTCTCTGCATGAAAAAGGCCATGATGCTTCCATTGATCACGTTCTTAGTGATCATTCAAATATAAGCCTTGAGGAACCTAATGAGGTGGACAGTCCATTTATGTCAACTCACGGTGTCTTTTCTTCCAAATCTTTATGTTCCAAGATGCCAGGTGGTATACTGTTGTTGAAGGCTATTGTGAGACGTATGGACAAGCTTATGCATAAGAACGATGAAGCCTCAAAAACAGATGATTCTTCGGAGTTGTCTACTTCTGTATCTGATTATGAAGATTGTGTGGAGGAGCATCAAAGTAGTTGTAGCTTTGAAGAGTCTCTTGAGATGATGCGGTCAAGAGGAAGCGAACAAAAACTGCCGGAAAAACTGCTGGGAGGGATTCTTATTGATCAGGAATATGCTGTTTCACAGCATGAACTTAATGCATCTCTTTTTACCCCAAATTCACAGTTTTGGAGAGATCTTGCAGAACTTCAGGGGACAACAGATCTACAGGAGGGGCCTTGGATGTGGAAATCCGGAGAGATGCCATGTTTGACACGAGTTGTTTCCTACACAAGAGCTGCCTCAAAGTTAGTTAAGGCTGTTAAAGCCACAGAGGAGCAAACGTACATCACAGCAGATGGAAAGGAATTTGCTGTATTAATCAGTGTGAGTACACCTGATGTTCCATATGGAAATTCATTCAAGATTCAGTTGCTTTACAAGATAATGTCTGGACCAGAGCTACCTTCAGTGGAACAATCCTCCCGTCTGGTGGTATCCTGGGACATTAACTTTCTCCAGAACACAATGATGAAAGGCATGATTGAGCGAGGAGTTCGACAGGGACTTGAGGAGAGTTTTGGTCAGTTTTCCAGCTTGCTGGCTCGGAATTTCAAAATGCTGGATTCAACAGACTTGTCTGACAAGGATCATATCCTGGCAAGTATGCAGGCAGGGCAACAATCAGATTTGAAGTTGGCAACTGAATACTTCTGCAATTTCACTCTATTTACCACTATCTTTATGGTTCTGTATGTCCTGGTTCATATTCTACTTTGTGAGCCCAGTACACCCCAGGCCTTGGAATTTATCGGACTTGATTTGCCAGACAGTTTTGGAGAGCTCATCACATGTGGAATTCTCATCCTTCAGTTGGAGCGCGTTTATAACATGGTTTTACACTTTGTACAAGCTAGGTTGCAGAAAGGTAAGCACATTTATAGCATCGCATTAACTTTACTAAACTATTTGAGTCTACAGTGCCTTCACACTCGATGTCACATCTTTAACACTGTCCTGGGATTTACTCAATCGTTCGGTCTCTTTCAATAGGAAGTGATAATGGAGTCAAAGCACAAGGTGATGGATGGGTTCTTACTGTTGCTTTGATTGAAGGGAACAGCTTAGCATCCTTGGATTCATCAGGGTTCTCTGATCCCTACGTGGTTTTCACCTGCAATGGTAAAACAAGAGCAAGCTCTGTCAAGCTTCAAACAAGCGATCCTCAATGGAACGGTGACGACTTTTTCCTTCTTTGTCCATTTTTTTTCCAACCATATATTTACTGATGCCTTCTTGCAAATGTGATGCAGATATACTTGAGTTCGGTGCTATGGAAGAACCGCCATCAGTTCTGGATGTTGAAGTTTTTGATTTTGATGGCCCATTTGACCGAGCTACATCACTTGGACATGCTGAGATCAATTTTCTTAAACACTCAGCTACCGAACTTGCAGATTTGTGGGTCTCCCTTGACGGAAAGCTTGCTCAGTCTTCTCAATCAAAGTTGCACGTCAGAATCTTTTTGGACAATAACAAGGGAGCTGAAACAATTAGGGATTATATGACCAAAATGGAAAAGGAAGTTGGAAAGAAGGTGAGGACTTTGCGTCACGATTTCTTCTTTCTTTTCTTCTTGAGTTAACCTAACTGTTATGTACGTGAGTTTCCCTCTTACAGGTTATAATTTTGTTGCTGCACGTTTAACATTATCTCTTGACAAAAAAAAAAACCTACAATTGAGCCTAATTTCTACTCAAGATGTTGATCAAAACTCTGCTTGGTTTGACAGTTGAATCTGCGATCACCTCAGAGGAATTCAACATTTCAGAAATTGTTTGGGTTGCCACCAGAAGAATTTCTTATCAGTGATTTTACATGCTCCCTGAGGAGGAAAATGCCTTTACAGGTGCCATATTTGGTTTCTATCATGCTATTCAACTACTTGAAAAATAAAGAATAAATTACAATAAATTGATAGATATTTTAGATCTTCTAGCATTCCAATTAAATCTGGGTTCGTCTGAGCTCAATTATACAGGATAAGAAAGATATGTTAGCTTCTATTTGTGTGGTATAAGTTAGATGAGGAATGAAAACTTCCGCTGCGTTGAGCACTATGAAGCCTTTGTGTGTGTGCATGCATGTTCAGTGCGTGCGCATATCTGATTATAGCAACGATGACTTGCTGGTGCAGGGCCGACTTTTTCTATCTGCAAGGATAGTTGGGTTTTACTCGAACTTGTTTGGACACAAAACAAAATTTTTCTTTCTTTGGGAGGATATTGAAGATATCCAAGTTCTTCCCCCATCCTTGTCATCTGTGGGTAGCCCCTTGCTGGCCTTTGTTCTCAAAAAGGATCGAGGAATTGATGCAAGGCATGGTGCGAAGTGTCAAGACAATGAAGGCAGGCTGAAATTTCATTTCCAATCATTTGTATCATCTAATTCAGCCAGCAGGTAGTGATATTAGGGAACTATATAAATGTTTAAGACAAATGATTTCTTTTTTGCCAGTCTTTATACATGTAGAAAGTATTTGATGACTGATTATGTTTTCCTGGCAGGACAATAATGGGCTTGTGGAGAATGAGAACACTTAGTGCTGATCAGAAAACACAAATTGCTGAAGGACATTTTGATCAGAAAGACATCCCCATAATGCTTGAAGACACTGAATCCATACTCAATCTTGAGTATGAAAAGATGTCCAAAGTTTATACCGCAGAACTACCTATTAACGTAAGTTGTTGGTTATCTTCTCTTTTTCCTTTTTATTGCTTTGTTAATCGTTAAAGAGTTTATACTGCATGATTTGTTATTCAGCTTTGAACTTCGTTTCTTTAGTGAAACGAAGACTGTTGCTCATGTGAAATTGTATCTGACTTCATAGCCTTGGTTGACAATTTGACAACGTAACATGGGTGACTAACAATTAGAGTTGGCGCAGACAAAATCTCTGATGGAAATTTTCGAGGGAGGAAAGTTGGAGCATAAAATCATGGGGAAATCATGCTGTCTTAACTATGTAACTACCGCTTGGGAACCTACAAAAAAGCCGGATGTCTTTGAACGACAACTATCTTACAGGTTCAACCGCCAGGTCTCGATCTTTGGAGGAGAGGTTACATGCAGACAAGAAAAGTCCCCCTTGGCAAACGGTGAAGGATGGATCGTGGATGAAGTTATGGCTCTGCACGGCATTCCATTTGAGGATCACTTTCGTGTATGTGACATCAAACTGAGAATCGCTACCTTTTGACATTGCCTACATTTTCGCTTAATACAGATATTCGATTCATCGTGCAGGTTCAGCTCAGGTACCGCATCGAGAAATCTGCAATGGCTCATAATGCATGTAAATGCAATGTTCATGTCAGGGTCTTCTGGCTTAAAAGGACAAAGTTTCAGGACAGGGTCACACGCAACATCATAGGGAAATTCGCCCATGGATTCAAGGAAATATTCGAATTCGTCGAGCGGGAGATTCTCTTGGCACCGGGACAAGACATTTCCCTTTGACACACACTCTTTAGCCTCACGATCATTCACATTCAGATAGATCACAGATTCTTTTGGAGCTTTCGGCCGGATAGTGATACGAAATCAGCAACGTAGTCCAAACCAGGAAATGTACGGCCAAATGTAGGACCTTTCGATATTTTTTTCTTATATTCTGCTTTCGTTGTAGGAATTTCCTCCTTATTTTGTTTAACGTAGAACAACAAAGCATTCTGAAATTTACTCGAAAGTCTTTATTTTGGCCAAATCAATAGAAATTTTTGACAAAAATAAGAAATTTACTCGAAAGTCTTTATTTTGGCCAAATCAATAGACATTTTTGACAAAAATAAGGAGTGATTGTCGTCAAATATATGCAAGAGATTAAATACGCCATTACGATTACGTCCAAGACAATCTCTCCCCTATTATCTTTTTGCCGCCCTAGTGTGAACGGCAGAACCAAAAGTTGGAATTTTGAACCCAAAAAAGTCGAGGGCTTGCGAAGACTTTGAATCTTTATAGTCTCTGAATCATCTTCTCCAACTTCATTCTTCTCTGACCGCTCCTTCTGTGGAGCGATGGCCTCCACCGCTGTCATCGACGTCCGGTATTTCGGAACCTCTAAGGTAAGAATGTGAGTTTATAGTTTGTTGGGTTTTGTTATGCTCTGATCTGTTTGGTTGCTGAGAAAATCAGGGAGAAAATATGATGTGCTAGTAGGTTGTAAGATGCAAGTTGTGTGGATCATATCTGTATGAGTTGTAGAGCACCGCTTGCCCGTCTCTCTAAAATCTTGACAGGCCGTAGTCGGATAAAATTGATAATTTTATCTTACTGGGAAAATTAATTTGCAAACTGTGTTTCTGGGTACAGAGACTTTCCAGATTGTGTTATGTTTTTATTTGGTTGCTTAGTTTTGAATGCTACTAACATCTCACTGGTTGTGTGATGAAGGTTAGAGCCGGCGGCAGAGTGAGGCATCTCAGTGCTCATGTTGATAACAATGGCGAACTGGATCTCGACATGGGAGCATTGCGGAGAAAAATTCGCAGCCTTTGTGCCCTCCCACCCGCTGCTGACATTACTCTGACGTACATTGATGAAAACTACGATGTCGTTACTCTTGTGGACGATGATGATCTGCGGGAAGCAATGAGGCAGCGTCTGGAGCCCTTCAGGATCGATGTGCTGATGAACGATGACAAAGAAAACTGCGGCAAAAACTCAAGCTCCGGAAAATGTCACGTGACGGATGCTGTAAATGCAACAAGTGATGTGAGTAATAGCAATGTGTTTGATGAATTCCATCTGGCAAATTATGATCACCCTGTTAGTCCTAGGGTTAAACAATCTGAAGACGAATGTGGTATGATGTGCGACGCAGGCATTCGCTGTCGCGCCTGCAATGACAAGGTCGCGAAACTGTGGTTAGCGGCGTTGGCCCTCGTAGTGTCGGTCCGGTTATTATCCCGGCGACATGGATCGGAGTGTTGATTGCTTCTACAACACCTCCTCTGCAAGTGAGCTTGTTTTTGTGCTCAACTTAAAGAAAAAGGGAGGCTTTGTTGCTTTGGCTTGTGCAGCAATTTTGAGTCTGCTTGCCAATTAACATATACATTGGAATTGGAATTTATACAGCTTGTTTCTTTTCTTTTATTTATATGTGATATGAGTTGATTGTCTTCTTTGTATTTCGTGAATTCGTAATTGCTTGAGTTGTAGAGCACTTCATGGAAATGATCAAATGTTTACTTATAGTTATGAAAATTATTAATTGTTGATTTCTGATACGTAAGTATTGAGAGTAAATCTTGACATGGTTAATACATGAATATTCAATTTCTCTTACGTTTCTTAGCACATATAAAATCAAATAAAGTGCGTTCTTATACAGAAATCTCTAATTCAATACGCGAAAAAGATAAGCAATTAAATTGATTAAAAGGGGCAATTGATCACAACACCATGTACTCATTCCTTCTCTCCTCGAATTCGTGTAAATAAACACGTAGAACGAGAAATTTTTATAAGTGTTAGGAACACATGTAGCGTGATTATATCATTCTTCGTGTTTTAATAAGAGGGACCACATGATTAGGCACGTGCTATAATATAAGTACAATAATAACGTTACGTAACTGTATTGTGAATCTTCATCATTTTCCGCCCATATATTTTCATTATAGTTTTAGCGTCATAAATTCCATGTTTATCAAGAATGGCTTTGGGTCAACACAACCACTAAGATTACACAAAAAAAAAAAAAAATGTGATATCCACATACATCTTTTTACTTTTCTCACATCTTTTTAATTTTCGGCCTTCGGATCGGATTAATTGAAGAAGATTAAATGATATAAATTAATAAGAGGTGTAAGAGGAATAAAAAGGAATGTATGGATAACACACCTAAAAAAAAATAACACCTGCACGTATGAGATTCCACACCATTACGACGGTCCTCCAACCACCAGAACACAACCGCGCCTTTAGTATATCCGCGCAGGGCGCCCCTATCTTTGGCGAGAAGAAAACCAGCAATAATTATTTTTCTTATTCGCCAAGCCAAGAGCGATATATAATAATATAAATATATAGACACACATACCCCGTCTGTATTTCCGCTTTGCGTTTCGTAGAGAGAGAAAGCTAGAGAGAGAGACAGAGAGAGAGGGGAAAGAGGCGGTAGTAGCGGCTGACAGGTACGCTTGGGATTCCGAGATAACGTTCGATTTTCTCGTTCCTGAACGGTTCTGTGATTGTTTAGGGTTAGGGTTAGGTTTACTTTTAGTTATCGGATTTGGAGCACAGTGGTTGTTTCTACAGCTATGGCGTCGACCAAGGTTATCAAGGTGCGATCTTTTCGAACTTTCGTTTCCGAATTTGATTTGGGTTTTTGGTTATTCTCTGTTTGGTTGACAGGAAAATTTGGGATAAGGGAAAGAGGTTTGGAAATTTGACATGCAACTGAGCTGTGGGATGAAATGGGGTTCTTGATTGATAAATTTATGTTGGGGGTTTTTTTTTTTTTTTTTTTTTTGTAATTGAAGAGGGTTTATGTGATGATAATTTTTTGAATTTTGAGTTTTGATGCCTGGCATGTTTATTTGATTGAATGTTATTTTCTCGGAAAGATTATTGATTTATTTGGATAATCGGAGAAGTAACGTGGTTAATCTAGGTAACCCTGACTAGTTTGTTCATGGGTCGGTTGAATTTTGGCAAAATTTGTGTGCTGTTTTCAGACTCCAATTTGATTTTGTCATTTGCAGGTGTCAACATTTTTATTGAATTCTTGGGTTTGAAAAGGTTTATTAATTTTCTAATTCTCTCTCTGTTGTATTACTGCTCTTGTTCGATGTGTATGCTTATTAACCGTTAATCCATTTCAGAATAATTTAATCTATTTGTTTGTTATTTGTCGTTTTCATCGTTGCGCTATCAGGGTAATGATTAGGTTTTGATTAGACTGGGGATATCTGTTACCTGTTGTGTTTATCTTAAAATTGTCATGAATTTTAATAAATGTTCTAGCTGGATAGCTGCATATGTAACTCTTTGTTAGCTATATCAAGTCAGTCAACAGCATGGTGCAATTACATTCTATGTTTATTTGGTTACTTTCGTATGCACTAATATGTAACTGGTTGTTCGAAAGGTTCAATATGCGGAAACACTAAGGCGTTTCAATGCTAGTGTCAATGAGAACGATCAACTGGATCTTGACATGAGTGGATTGCGAGAAAAGATCTTGAGTCTTTTCAATCTCCACCCTGATGCTGACATTACTTTGGCCTACGTTGATGAAGATGGTGATGTAGTAACTCTTGTTGATGATGGTGATCTGCGTGACACAATGAGGCAGAAGCTCAAATTCTTGAAGATATATGTACAGATTAACAAGGACAAATCTTCTAAGTCAAGTGGAAGTTCTACTCCTTTGAGGTCCCCTCAAGGTCAAACTCCAATACCAAATTTTAATGCTGACGCTGCCGAAGTTTTGAAGTCCCTGCCAGAGCCACTTCAGGAATTCGCTTCGAAGTTTCCTCTTGAATTGGCTTCAAAAGCTGCATCATCCAGTCCGGTGTTAGCGGAGCTTGTTGACTGCTTTTCAAAGATGGGCCTGTCATACTTGATTCCAGATGCCCAGGTTCAGACTGCTGGAGATTCGGGCAAGCAAAGCGGCGCCTCTAAGAGTCCTGTGGATCCCCCAGCTGCTTCTAAGTCAAATGATATGAAGGGTGATGGCAGGTCAGAACCCATCTCTGCAGCTGAGGAATCAAGCACCAAAAAAGGTCAGGCGACAGACTCTGTGAATGTGACCAAGGATGTGGGGATGTCTGCTCCACCTCTTTATGCAACTCTTGATCTCAATTTCCTTCCTACTGATTCTAATCTATCAGGACCCACGCCCGTTAATGATTCACCAGCTGGATCAAGTCTTCACACCAGTGATGCAAGGAAGGAGTCTAAGGAGCTTCCCAATGGTCTTCTCAATATTCAAAAGAAACTTCACAACAAGAAGCCTTTTGGTTGTGGTCCGTCTGCAAGTTCAGCTCGTCCTGCGAGGAATATTCATGATATGATTGGTAATCGTTTCAACGAATGTCCGTTTACAGGGACTCCCATTGCAAATGACTCAGCTACTCCTGCTGCCTGTCGGCGCATTCCTTTCAAAAGAAATCACTCCGAAGCGATGGGTGGTATGTTCCATACGGGTGTTCGCTGTGATGGCTGTGGTTGTCATCCAATTGTTGGACCTCGATTCAAGTCAGTAGTGTAAGAATGGAACTTATCAAATCTCTGATGCTAAGTTGGTAGTGAAACGTTGTTGAACTCAGATTATTGATGTTACTTTCTGTTTCTTTTCTGCAGGAAAGAGGATTATGACCTCTGCCAGATCTGTTTTGCCAGTAAGGGTAATGCAACTGATTACATTAGGATTGACCACCCTATCTCTCATCGTCATCCACGGCCCTTCAAGGGGTTGTATGAGCAAGTATGTAGATCCCTCTAATACTTCTTCTTCCCCATAGATACCATATTTTATTTTTGTTATGAATTTGACCTTTCTTTTTCATTCTTAATGATAGCCTCCATGGTTAGGTCCCCCAGTTATGCCAAAAATATTGAGAGGTAGTATGAAGCAAGGCCGCCCTAAGCTTGATAGCCGCTTTGTTTTGGATGTCAATGTAATGGATGGTACCTTTATAGCCCCATCTACTCCATTTACCAAAATATGGCGGATGCGCAACAATGGTGGTATGGTGTGGCCTCAAGGAACAACACTTGTGTGGATTGGGGGTGACAGATTTAGCACTTCAGATTCAGTTGAAATAGAGGTGGCATACTTTGACATTGTTCTGGAATTGTTCGAGTCGCACTTAATATTTACTTTTTTGTTGTCTTTCCGTATTTCCTGGGTTTTAGTTGGCACTTCTATTCATTTTTGTTTTAGTTCTTTTATTTCAGAGATTTTTTGTTGTCATTTTTTAATTTCATGGTTTGTTACAGATTCCTGCGAATGGTGTGCCGGCTGAAAATGAAATTGACATTGCCGTTGATTTTACTGCACCCGAGTCACCTGGTCGCTACATCTCATACTGGCGGATGGCAACCTCATCTGGCCAAAAGTTTGGGCAACGTGTTTGGGTCCTGATTCAGGTATCTTCCTTATTATTAATTGTGTTCTTTTGATGACCTCTACTTTTATTATGCATACAGGCGGATGTTTCCGGAACAACTTTATACCTAATGCCCGTAACTAGACAACTCTTCTTATCCTTTATTCCCTTGTGCAGGTTGATACATCCTTGAAGGATTCATTCTTTGAGAGTTTTCAGGGTCTGAACTTGAATCTGCCCCCAAAAGAATCTGAAAAAATAGATGTGAACCTTCAACCGGCTGCTGGCAGTGACTTTCTCCGGCCTTCTGGTTCCAGCCCACTTAAGGAACCGGTGAAGCCCATGCCTACTGAGCTACCTGGACATGACCAGGAGCTCCACTTCCCCATCAACGATAGCTTGCTAGTTGGCCACAGCGCTTCTGCCCCTACTGAGCCACAGGGTTCTTCAACTCTGTTGTACCCCACTGTAGAGCCACAAGGTTCTTCAGCTGTGTTGTATCCCACTGTTAAGCCACAGGGTTCTTCAACCGTGTTGTATCCCACTGTCAATATCTTCGAACCATCTCTGCCCTCCCCCAAATTGTCACCTGTTGTCAATGCACCAGCATCATCCGAAGGGACCAGTTCAAACAATGCCGTGGAAGACACCATGCTGAAGGAGCTTGAGGCGATGGGATTTAAGCAGGTCAATTTGAACAAGGAGGTTCTACGTATGAATGACTACAACATGGAGCAGTCTGTCGATGATCTCTGCGAGGTTTCTGACTGGGATCCCATCCTTGAAGAGCTGCAGGAAATGGTAAGTTTGTACAACCCGACTGTAACAAAACCTTGACGGAGAGTTCCCTCTCCAAATTTTTGATGTATTCTGAGTACGATCGCTGTGTGCAGGGTTTCTGTGATGCCGAAATGAACAAGAAGCTGCTGGTGAAGAACAATGGAAGCATCAAGCGTGTGGTTATGGATCTGATAAACGGGGAGCAGCTTTAGTTGGAAGACAACTACTAATAAATCATGTTATTATATAATCCTAGTGTGTGTGTGTGTGTGTGTATTATCTCAGAAATAATGGACTGACATTTTGCGATATGCAATATGATGCCTTGCTTGCTTTTGGGGACCATGTCCATGTGCATCTTTTTCGTAGTATGTAATTATGTATTAGTAAATTGGTACTGATATCCAAGTTTTGGATTTAATATTACAATCTATGTCATGTATTCATGTGGCCATTTACTTTATTGATTTCTATGTTTTTTAACGTCCCACGACTTCGTTTTATAGTTCAGTTATATGCCACCGAGACGTCAAGATGATAGTATCTTAAAAGGATTAATTGCTCTGGTGTGTGGATACGCTTGAGATATAGGTGTTGTAGCATTCTGGTTGCATGTAAGGTAGGTACGGTGTGATTTGTTAATTTGGCATGAAATAACACAAAAATAACAAGTTTCGAGTCTGTCTGTTAACTGATTAGGTTGTTATTGAGTTATTTGTTAAGAAATTGTTAAGGTAAGAAGCATGACACATAAATAACACGAGCACAATCCATTTGCAGGTCTAGACATTAAAGTATAAAATTCTTTTGCGTGACTTATTAATTTGACACGAAATAGCACGGTCTATTCACAAGTCGGATTTTTAACGGATCATTTGTTTAGAATCTATTTAGGTAATTGATTTAATAAGACATAATTTGTTAAGATAATATGAATGTTACATAAAGACGACAAAAATAACCCGTTTGTCCGGTCTCGTGCCTTTGGAAATAAGGTGGAGTAACTGGAGTTGCCAATTTTGCACGGCAAATTAGACGGTCGAAGCGACTTATCCTGTATATCCTCTTTTTGGTCCACGACTCGAACGTTGCAAGTGATTTGGAGGGAAAGGATAAGACTTTTTGCTGCATGGATTGCTCGTTTACCGACATATCTCATCTCCTTTCCCACCGGTTGCCTCTCGTCTTTTTAACTGCCCTCCACACCCTCGCATTTCTTGCCACATCTCTCCCTTTCAAGTAATACTGTTTGACTGCTTACATATAACGAATTGATCTTTATTAATTATCCAGAACTACGTATATAATACTTATCTTCTAAGTATAAGTCGTAAAATATTCGGTGGTTCAGTTTAGAATGCAGACGGTTAAAACCAGAAATTAAATGATTAGCCATGATTGAAGTGAAGTACAAGTAAAAGATAGGAAGGAGCTCGATAGTACTCATGTTGTTGAGTAGCTTTACCAGTTTACCCTCCATGTTGACAAGATCAGTTTCCATGTGCTCTAGATTAGTTTATGGCTCCCACCCACTTAACTACAATATATTCAACACTCCCTTCTCTCTCATCTCTCTCTCTCTCTGTCTCTCTCTCTCCTCACACACACACCAAATTCTTAAAAACTTGATCTTTAGGCTCTCTCCCTTCCCATGATTCCAGCTGCAGATCAAGACTGAAGCCACTGTTTCCATCAGAGCTTAATTAATCCCACAAATCCCATCACACCCCATTTAATTACCCTCAATGATGGGGACTATGGAGTTTTAATCAAACTAGCATACGTATGCAGTACTCTAGTTTTCACTTGGGGAAGTGCTTTTGCTAATCTGCTTCTGGACCTTCTGGTTTCGCCTTTCTGAGGCATTTTTTTTTCTTTCACATTTCCCCATAAAAACTTGCCAAGAAAAAAAAAAAGCACTTCGGGCATTGAGCTTTTGTTTTGGGGCTTTTGCTGTCAATCTGCTATCTGGTAGAACATGTGGGGTTCCATGCTTTTGCCTTCGCCAAGGACATGTAAGTACCATCTTCTCCTTCCTGTGAGTTTTTTGAGCTTTGGGATGCTGCTTATCTCTTTTGTGTCAGCTTATCCACTCACAGAGAATCAATGAATGAATTAGCTTCTCAACAAGTGCTTTTTGGCTTTTGGGTTTCTGATATTATGTTATATGGATTTTGGGTTTTGATGCTGGATTGTTTGGTTGTGTAGAAAGATGGAATCTGGGAGTAGGTTTTACTCAGCTGATGAGTTCAGATTGGATGCCAAATGGCTGATTGATCCCAAGCATCTGTTTGTTGGGCCAAGAATTGGTGAGGGAGCTCATGCCAAAGTCTATGAGGGCAAGTAAGTTGTACTGCTTCGCTTCACTTTCAATTTTTTGAGTTTTCGATTTGTACCCATGAATTGTTTGGTCTGCATAAGTGGAAACCTTGTGTCTTGATTTGTGGCTAATGACGTTTCCGCGGTTCGCATTTTCGTTTCATTTGAGAGTAATGTTGTTTAGATTTGCAAGTTTTTGGTTCATCTTGTTTAGATTAGATAAACTACGATTGCGTTCTTGTGGCGATTAGCAATACATTTTCTCCTTTCTTGTTTTGCATTCTGAACTGCATTTTGGGTTTTGCTGAAAATTTAATCTGGTTTAGTGGTTAGATTCAACTTTTGGTAGGATCCCGAAAAAGGTCAGGTTTTTGGTGAATTGTAGTTCAGTAGAAGATACCTGATGAATTTGGTTTGAGGGCGAAAAATGAGTTTCTTAAGCGATTAGATTGGCAGCTTGGAAGTAATTATGGTTCAATTTTGAGTTCTGTTATGCTGCAGTTATCTCACTCCTTTTGATTTCGGCCTTTTGGATTCCAATCAGATACAAAAACCAGACTGTTGCAATCAAAGTTGTTCATAGAGGAGAAACTCCAGAGGAGATTATTAAGAAAGAAGGACGGTTTGCCAGAGAGGTTGCAATGTTGTCGAGAGTTCAACATAAAAATTTAGTGAAGGTTCGATTTAATTGCCGCCATTTAGTTGATAAGTCATTGTGGTAACGGGTGACAATAGTTACATTGTGTAGTCATGAACATCAAATTATTATGTGTCGACATCTGATAATTAATAAAGGTACCCTGCCTCTCAACAGTTTATTGGTGCCTGCAAGGAGCCAGTAATGGTGATAGTTACTGAGCTTTTGTTGGGAGGTACATTGCGTAAATATTGTCTAAACATGCGGCCGAGGTGCTTGGACATACGCGTTGCTGTTGGTTTCGCATTGGATATTGCTCGTGCGATGGAGTGCTTGCACTCTCATGGGATCATACACCGTGATTTGAAGCCTGGTAACTTTTCCTATCCCATTTTAACTGCTTTGAATTCGATAAGTGTGAGTAACTTTAAGAAGGTTTCGATTCATAAACTGTTTCAGAACTGGATTTTCGTATTTTTTTCTGTAGTCAATATTTGCAGACTTTTTTGGCTGCAATAACTCTCATTCACCCAACTTTCTTTTTGTATTAAATTTTTAATAAATATTTGCCGTGTTTGCATTATGATGATAGATTTCATCACTGCCATACCGTCAGGCTGGAATTATTATTCTGAACTGTACTGTTATATTAAAAAGAGTAGATAGTAGATAGTCATATGTTTAAGTTCCCAAATTCGACGTCAGACTAATTTTTGTAAGATGGCGCTTCAAGGAGTAGAAGATTTTATTCAAAAACAGAACCCGAGGGGCTCCAAACTGAGGGTTATACACCGCTTATAGTCGGTTTAGTCCTCTCCAGTTCCATTTTTGAATAAAAACTTCTACTCGTGGATTTCCCTTGTTTCTACATTTCTAACAACGGATCTGCATTGTATGATTCAAGGCATTGATGTGGATGGGTGAATTATTTGTTCGGTTTTGAAAAATTACTTGTTTTTTACCTCATATTCTTTCTTATTTTATCTTTTTTTAACTTTTGGGTGCAGAAAACTTGCTCTTGACTGCAGACCACAAAACAGTTAAATTAGCGGATTTTGGGTTGGCAAGAGAAGAGTCATTAACAGAGATGATGACTGCAGAAACCGGGACATACCGTTGGATGGCTCCGGAGGTACTACCCTTCTTCCCCCACACTCATGAACTGTTGACGCTTAAAAATACCTCTTTATTGAGTTGATATTTCCTATTTTTCGGCAGTTGTACAGTACTGTTACATTAAGGCAAGGAGAGGGAAAGCATTACAACCACAAAGTGGACGCGTATAGCTTCGCAATTGTTTTGTGGGAACTCTTACACAACAAATTGCCTTTCGAAGGCATGTCAAATCTCCAGGCAGCATATGCAGCTGCATTTAAAGTAAACATATCTTCCTCATTGATACATTATTTCCGATCCCAACCATTAATTCTCCAAAATGCTTATGGTGCTGCTAAGTTTTACTAATTATTTAATGGATACTTAACATTTCAGAATGTGAGGCCTAGTTCTGAGAACATCCCTGAGGAGTTGAACATCATCCTAACTTCATGCTGGCAGGAGGACCCGAATGCTCGGCCTAATTTCAGCCAAATAATTCAAATGCTACTCGATTTTCTTTACACCATATCTCCTCCCGAACCTGTCATTCCATCACGGATGTTCACTGAGAACACTGTCTTGCCACCAGAGTCTCCTGGTACAAGCGCCTTGATGGCAGCACGCGAAGGCTCAGGGGAGACGCCCAAATTAGGAGAAATGGAAGACAAGCCAAAAGGTTTTTTCTTCTGCTTTAACCAGTGTTATTGAGTAGTTGAAGAGAAGATCCATAACCTCCGTCTTTCGGGTCAATAACGTTCGGAGGTAAGATCGTAAACACCAGAATCTAGTCCGATCAGGTACATTTTGTTAACATGGTAAATGTTTAAGCTGATCAGTGTCGAATTTCATCAAGTTCAATTGTCGAATACACCACTTTGTATCTATCCAATGTTCCGCTGGATCTTGTCGACGTGTAGGATCTTAACCCCGATTTGATATTCTTCAACGTCTGGTAGCTAATACTTCTGAATCACGGTGTGTTATATGCGAATTTTCTTCATCGGAAGCGGCTTCCATTTGCTCGGAAAATCGAAGCTGTAACTTCACAAAAACGATGACAAACCTTGCATTAATGCTGACGGTATTTGTGTAAAAATGCAACTGTTAATTTTTCGTAGATTCTTCTGCGTGCAGATAATGATTTGGAAGCGGTTTGACCATTTATTTTGTCACATAAGTAATTTTGGTTGAACTTTTGAGCTGAAATACAGAAAATCAATTAAAAATAGCAAGAACGGATTTTTGTCGGCCAGAACATCTCTAAAATCATTTTGCATTAACACTACGAAGCTTAGGATGAAGCGAAAATGTCACGAAAATAGATTTTGTGAACATTAAATGATCGAAACCATTACAAGAATTTAAGGGAGGAGGAGTTCTGAATTTTGAACGTATGGATGGAAATTCAACACTCTATCTACTAAAATATTGAACCTACAGTGCTGGGTTTGGCGGGAGGGATAATAAAGGTTGTTATTGCCATTTTGTTCAATATTGGGGTGTTTTTTTAATGTCCCAATTTCTTTTATGTAAACACTTCCTTGTCCTCGAGCTATTTGCATGTTACATTGTTAGATTAAATATAGACAACACGTTCAAACAAAAATTCGCATACAACACACCATGATTCTAAAAATATGTTTTGCATGCACGTGAATGCGTGCATGAAAGCTAGTTTTCTTTGGATTTGGATCCTCTCCTGAGCTAATGGAGAGGATCCTCCTGACCAATCATCATGAGCCGTTGGATTTTTATCCAACGGCTACAATCATTATAACTTTAAAGGGACCCCTTGTTTGTAGCCGTTGGATAAAAATTCAACGGTACACAATAATTGGTCATGAGGATCCTCTCCATTAGCTCAGGAGAGGATCCAAATCCGTTTTCTTTAAAGTGAGTGGCAAGTTGTTGGATAAAATAGGAACAGGAGCTTCTGGAAAAGTGTGAGAATAATTTAATATCAGGATGGAAACTGATATTATGCCTTGGGAGATATGAAACCTTGCGGAGGGATTTTTCAGTGTGATTATCACACGGAATAATATATCACGTGTTCTTATATAAATGATAAGATATATGTGTTAAAAAGTTAATAACTTGAAAAATAAAATTTTTCACTATTTATATAAAAACACGTGATGTACTACCTGTGTTCCCGTTACAACTAAAAATTTCTTCAAAGGAGGCCTAGTTCTGGCTCACCTCCTTTTTCCAGCCATGTTAGATTCATATGCTTGAATCAACAGTTTGAAATAGACAAGGGAACTGGATGCTACACCCTTTTGATTTGACAAGACAGTATTCTAATTTACATGAGAAAAATACTTGAACTTGAATGTAAAGAGGTCGACGTATTGCTTTGGTAATTAGGTTAACTCACATCAACAGAACTAGATGTTATTTTATTTATTTAACAAGACGGTATTTGTTGAGAGAGAAATTCAAACTTAAATAAAATAGGCCGGCATAATAGCCTAATAAACTAGTCTTACTCTCGATAGAGCAGTTCCACAATGGGCAATAGCCTTATGGACTGGCTCTCAAATAGGGCTAGATAGCCCGAGGAAGGTGGTCCACCGTGTGCTGGCGAGGGAGCCCGAGCAGGCCCATGGGAGAGGTCCAGCATGAGTAGCTGGCCCGAGAGCTCGAAGGAAACGTGACAAAAGGCTGACGTCAGGGTGACGTCAGCCATAATATAAAATTAATAAAAATATAAAATATAAATAAAAAATGTAAAACACAATAGGCTTCGAACTTAACGGTTCTCACCGGAGTTCGTCGTCGAGGTTGTTGATACACCCACAGACAAATGACAAAGATCCAGTCCCTCTGCCGCCACAGCTGCCGTCGTACCCCACAGACAAATCGCCTTTGCCCCCACGCACTCGCAATCCCCCTCCTTCCACTTGAGCGCCCAGATCGCACGATTTGGGATTTATTTTTGGGGGAGAGAGAGAGAGAGAGTTTGGTTAGGGAGTGGGGAAGATTGGGACTGTTGATGGAGGCTGAGCTGGGTGAGATGGTGAAGATGGAGGAAGAGAGGTAGTAGTGGAGTGCTGAAGAAAGGTTTGGGTGTGTTGTTTAGGGGGGGGAGGGGACATGGGTTGATGGGAAGTTTCCGTGCGAGGGGTGGTGGGGCGGAAGGATCTGGGTGTGGATGGTTTTTTGTTTTTTGTTTTTGTTTTAAATATTTAATTAAAATTTTAATAGAAAGTGGTACAACGAAACCGATTAAAAATCCTATCCGAAATTACAAATAAAATTATTTTGTATTATTTAAAAAAAAATACTTTTATTTTATTGCCTATTGCCAGGGCTATTCAGTGTAGGAATGGAGATGCAAAAGCTAGTTACTGTTCATTAAAGACAGTTATTGTTCACTGGATGGATTAAATAGTGAATAGCCCTAGGGGACCTTAACAATTGTGTAGTTGCTCTTAGTAAAACTAGATACCACCTTCTTATTTGACTAAGACGATATTCTAATTTTTAAACTCAAAGAAAGGGGCCCGAAATAACAAGAGATACAAACGTAAACCCTAGAAGAAAAATCCACCAGAGTTTGGAAGAAAACTGAAAGGTTTATTTGATTAATTCTTGAATGTATATTACAAAGCCAAAAGACTTAAATATACTTAAACTCAGCCATGAGGGAGTTCAAGGGTCTTAGGGACATTGAAATGACATAAACCGGACAGTAAATCGAAAGTTTGAATTTTATTACAAACTTTAAAACGCTGTTTTGGAAGTCTAGACGACCTTGAACAGCTAAATATGTAAATTTCCGCTGCGTCCTTTTGTCTTACTTCGTTCTATTTCATCTTCAATGCACCAAAACGTAGCTTGGACAACAAATATGTAATTTTTCACTGCGTCCTTTTGTCTTCCTTAGGTCTATTTCGTTTTCAATCCACTTAACCATCTATTCTACACAAGGTTCTAAAAGACACTAGGCGCTAGTCGAGTGGTTGGCTGGAGCCTAATGAAAATATGGGAAACAAGGATATAATGTGTGTTTATTTAAGCATGCAACAAGTTTCTTACAATTTATTGAAAAAAAAATGCAAAATGAAAGTGATATATTTTCTGTTTAAGTGAGTCGTGACCTAGGCGGGTGCCTTGTAATACCCTGAAAATTTAAAGATATGAATATGTGGAGAAAATCGAAAATAAATCGATTTATGGTTGTGAGAAGTTAAATTGAGAACTTTTAAAGTTCTGTTTCCGGGAATTATTATAATTTTCGTAGTAAAATTATTGTTAAGTGGAAATGACGAAAATGCCACTAGTTGGCTTAACGTAATTATATGGTAATGTATTTTATCTTCATATATTTTGGCATATCTCTTGACATATTTGGATAGAGGATGATCCTACGAGCGCGTAGGCGAAAAACGTTCGTGAAACAGATTTATAACGAAGAAGTTATTAACGTTTAAAGTTAGGGATATTTTGGTAATTTTACTTCCTTTTAGAAGGCTCCAGAAAATCTAGAGCAATGAGTTCTGCCACGTGTGTGGCTGGGATGAAAGAAAAAAAATGAGTGATGGACAGCTGTGATTGAAAAGAAATAATAGAAATGAGAAAATGAAGGATTTTTTTTGGGGGGGGGGGGGTGACCAATGGGAGGAGAGAACCGAGAGGAAAGAGAGAGATGGGGGAACACTGGATCACACGGACCTAGCGACCCGACCTATTTTCCTCATCTTCTCCAGTGGTTTTCATTGGTTTTCCGCCGAATCACGTCGATCAAACCTTGGGAAATCATTTCCCGACCTCCCCTTTACCTAATCCACTCTAAAAACTCAAGATAAAAGGGTATGGAAATCGTGTAATTGGCACGGTGGGTGCGGGGTGCATCGGAGCTCCTTGGCGGCGATCTTCCATTTCTGAAGCCAAATTCGACCACCACCACTATCAATGGACTCCTTGTGAACCCAAGAACATGTCCCAAGCCTTGGATGGGGCGGTAGAACACCGGAGGACATGGATCGAGGTCACCCAAATTATAGGGTTTCCGACGGGTTCAAGGCAAATTGGAGCCTTTCCAGGACAAATTGGACTTGGCCGCAGGTATAAAGTTTGCTCTACTCTTTGAGATCTTCATTTCTGTGATTTTTAAGAACTTTTAGAAATAGTTGAATTTTCTGGCGAGCCGGGGTGGCCTACAGCCACCCGCAACGGCGGGTGCGCCGGCGCACAGCCAGGGAGCCTACATTGTGTTTTTATGCGAATTTCGTTATTCTAATTATGCTTTTGAGACCTAACTGTTGTGGTTTGAATATTAATATGATTGTGGTATATGTGGGATTAAATGAATATATTTGGATTTGGTTTGAATTTTTGGAAAGGGGAACTACGAAAGGCTTGATCCCGTTCTAGGGTACGTAGGCAGTCTAACTGTGTTAGATGCAACCTTAAATAATCAAATTAAATCCTTTGTTGAGAATTTGTACAAAGAAAAGGAATTTGGTAAATAAAATGAGAATTAACCTTATAAATTAATTATGTTTATGTTTATGTTGATTGAGAGGGTGTTAAGGAATTTAAATAAAGAATTGTGATTTAAAATTCTGCGAAATAGAGCAAAGTTTTTGGGCCGTCACCAATATCATTTCCCGAAATTAGTATTTTCAGGCCTGGGGCGTGACAAATGGTATCAGAGCAAATGATCCAACTGTACGAGATGCACTATTCGTGAGTCTTGTTGGTGTGAATTATGACATGCATTGTGGTTACATTAATTCATATTTTTAGGAATAAAGTGGCATTCATGTTTTATATGTGAAATACATATATAAATTGTATTATGATTGTGGTGCAATTTCCTTGGTAAATATGAAAGTTTTGTTAATGGGAATTGTGATTTGCGTTTATATTGCATTATTTCATAAGTTCTATGAGTATGAT